AAAGTAAGGTTCATGATGAAACAAGCGCAAAAATACACACACTCAGAGAGGACACAGACAATGCGGTGTTAACACATGGAAAAAGGCCCTTTGTACTAGAAATTACATTTAGGACGACTGCCAGTTGGAGGTGTTGGTAAAGGTTCATGATGAACCAACTGGCAGTCATCCTGAATGTAATTTCTAGTACAAAGGGCCCTTTTCCATGTGTCAACACCGCAAGCGCTTGCCTGTGTCCTCTCTGAGTGTGTGTATTTTTGCGCTTGTTTCATAATGAACCTTTACCAACACGCCCAACTGGCAGCCATCCTAAAAGAGAAAAGTAAGAACGATAAGGTGATGAGGCTGACAAGGCTTCATTGCAGGTTGTAAACGAAAGGGTTGTGGTTCCAATCGTACTGTCGGTAAAGCTAAACTTAAAAAGATACCATCATCACTACACTGATGCTCGCAGTTATTCGCTTAAAGTTGTATTGGTACCCACCCCGATGATCTATACTAGTTATGGCGCTCGACAGCTGAACCGAAGGTAGCGAGTTCGAATACCGGTTGCAGCGGCAACATTTTCTACGGCAGCCAAAGTTCTTGGGGCGTGTGCACTTTGATTTAGGTGCATGTTAAAGAGGCCGTCCAGCGCTTTTCCAAGCTGCAATGGGAGGAATTTACTAAAGTAGCTATTCCCGCACGAATTCACTACCGCCTAAGTTATCAGAGGTTGCTCAGAACGACAGTTAGAGAAAAACTGTCGCACGTTGCACTTGCAAACTCTCGAAGCTAGGCAGGGATGGATGGCCCCAGGGAAAAAATTACGCTACTCGCACCTCGGTACCTTCATCAAAATATGACGCATATTGACAGTGGGGAAACAACAAATAATTAGAAGGGTTACAGCATTAGCCTTTTGGCAACGATACCAGCATTGTGATCGGAACATCCATCCTCTTAGTAATGCAATTAACGTGTTAAAATTCTGGCCTCTAGCACAGCACAGCAAAGAGCGCTTATAAGTCAATCTGTAAATTATTGCAGCTCATAGGCATAGAAAGTAGTTATTGTGTCCGATGTCGCGAAAGTGCGATACAATACGAGAGAGGCGGTAGTGAAGGGCTTCGGAAATTTTGACCAACGGGGTACTTCAACGCGCGCCTCAAGGTGAGCACACGGGCCTTTTGCATTTTCACTTACAAGGCCCGCTTTCAATGCGGTGACCTATCAGTGAACAGTACAGTGTCATAACCCCTACACAACAGAGGTGGGTAATCGTAACATGTGAGGCTTTGGTTCTGTAAGACCCTAGTTTTGCAACATGTACTTAAAAAATTCGTAGGCGAAATATAGGATTTACAAAGCTTTTTAGAAAATCATGTCAAATTGCAGAAAAAGATAAAAAAAACCGGAGGTTTGGACTGTACGTTATTAGAGCCCATGCCTATAAGTACAATTCCACATTTAGTTCTACGATTCCACAGTCGCGACAGACATCAATCGAATGTTTACATTCAAGCAGAAAACTGTATGTTCGTTCGCATGTTTTGTATGTTTACAAACAAACTATGTTTGTAAATTGTATGCAAAAGTGTATGTTTAAAAGATATTTTTTTACGGCAGTGGGCACAAACTGGTCACGCGCCCCTCCAGAAACGTGGTGTTATAGCGAATGGTACATTCACACTGTTTATACACGGAAAAGAGTCGCTATCACGATTAGTTTCTAAGATCCTGTTTGTGTTTCGCCGTGCATTGCTCTTTTACATTGTACCCCATTTTGAAGTGAGCCGCTGAATACTTTCATCGTGAACTCATTGAACCGCAGTCTATTAAACTTGATGCCAGCACAGCGTATGCCTTATCGCAATCAGTATCGATGCAAGACAAGGATTCGTTGACGTGTTTTGTGTTATTTATCAATTATGTACACACAAATGTACGCGGATGATTTTCTTAAAAAAGAATAAATTGAATGACAGAACTTGTCTAACTTTCATGTAACCATGTACGCGATATAGTCTACAAAAACATTTATCGTGAAATATTTTCAGTACCAATACCTTAGAATACAAATAAATCCACGCGCAATGCACAGCGCGTACATAGAGACAAGCAAGAATTCACTTTTGCACTCCCGGAACCTCACGAAATGTAAGAATAAGTGGTCTGCGTTACAGGTCTACATTTGATGCCATTCAAGGCCGTGCATTCTATCGGGACTGCGAGAGCTCGTACTCCAAATCCTTGACACGATGCAATTCTAATCAGCAGTTACTAATATCATTTAAAAAAAGAACCGTTTACCTTAAGTTGAAAGGGAACTCCGGTGCATTTTCAACTGTAGACCGTTTTTTGCAGTGGCGAACGGGCGCTGCCACGTTTGAATGCGCAATCTAATTGCCTTCTCCTTTCCACTTCACTGTCGCCGATGACCGGCCGATTCACCACCGCCGCTGCCGGGTTGAAGGCCAGCAAAGCGGGCGCAGCGCTTACCCCGGTATTCTAGAACGCCCCTTCACTCAACGCTCCACCTTCACTCGAGAAAGCCGATGGGAGCGCCATCTCTAGGCAGGGCAAGTCACGGCATATCAGTGTTAATTTGCTGCTATTCATGATTAGCGCAGTGTCATTTTGAGCCGAGCAGCGGCGCAGTTCTCAACTCTGTCAAATGAAGGGTGAAATTCGAGTCGAGGAGCGTTTGTGAATACGGGGGTTAGTCTGTACAAGCTGTTTCTTTTTATTGAATTACATGGGCACTCTCGGCTGGATTTTGCCGCCGGCGTCGGCATCGATGTCATGCGCCGTATATGTATACCCATCTATATTGTTTTTTTCTTTTCTTTTTCCTCTTAGGCACTGCGCCACGTCACCTTATGGCTGACAGAATTCCGGTGCTTTTTTTTTTCATCAAGAATTCCTACCACCACCTGTTTTTCGGTGCATGCGGCAGGGCAACGTCCGCCACTTGCCACATCACGGCTGTGCCACCGAGAAGAAGGCCGTGGCGCTTCGGTGCTTTTGCGCCATCTAGTTTTGCATAGGGAAACTAGCTGGAGAAAGTGGTCTCTCTTCTAATAGTATTAACATCCCTATAGCACCATAGGGCTGTTAGTTTTGCCAAAATACCCGTCAAAAATTAAAAATTAAGCAATAAACGATTAGTCCAAATCAGAGAGCTGCTCCGTGTGGGTACACGGTGATGTGACGAAACCACAGCTACACGCCACCATGGCTGGCCAAGGTTAAAAATGGCGCACGTGCTTCTTCTGTCACACGAAAAGGAAGCTGGCGATGTCATCCGATGCGGCGTCAAGCAGTGACAGCCCGTCTGAACTGACCAGCGACGAGTTCAGCGATGACTGCCGCTACTACCTGCTCGCGGAAAATCACCTTTTGATTGGGACCCGTCGACGCGCGAAGCAGCTGAACTGGCCACACTGATCTTCTCATTTCTCACCGCTACCGGAAGACCCGATGTCAACAACGACTAACAAAGTACGAATATGAAAAAAAAAACCGAACTGTTTTTGCGTCGTCACCGTCTTGTAGATGAAAACGTGCGTTGCAAAGGTCTGCTGGGTGAGGCGTGGTAGAAGGACTAGACACGTGTACCAATTTTCAATTACAGTTTCTGAAAACCTAAATTACCTACCGTTGTATGATTTGGCACATGTTATAAAGATCCCGAATGGAACATAAGCTGAAAGGTTTATCAAAAAATTGTGAATACAAAAGAAATTGTTGGAGTGCCCTGTAAGAAGGCTGTAACGGTGTCTGGGCTTGTCGTCTGAATAATTTTAGTTCAAAGAAACCTATAGGCACCAAGCATGCCTATGTAACCCTGTTTGTTCAGGTGATTGTAAGCAGCTGGATGATGTACGTTTAATGTACGGGCAAGTGATCAAGGTTCCACTGATATATTACGTGCGTACCGGCAGGAAAGTTCGATATTTATTGCAGAAGTATTGCCAGTTTCCAGTATGAAAGCTTCACTTCGTGAAAGTCGTCAAAGCATCGAAGCGGATGCTCTTTTTTATACAGATATTGCCTTTCTGTCTTTTTCATTATTAACCAGCATTACAAAGCTCGCTTCGTAGAAATTTCGGCGTCGGCGTCGTTTGTTGTGAGCGAAAATTAATCTTGTCGACGAAAATTGAGGAAGACGCAAATTAAACAAATAATAAACATTCCCGGATGCAAGTGATGATCGAACGCAGACCATCTGCATGGCAAGTGTTCTACAGCAGAGCAAAGAAATTGGTTGAAACTGCTTTGAAAAAAAAAAAAAGGCTGTATGAGTTTCATGTGGTGGTAAGAGTTTCGTTAACGCATCGTATTTCGCGGCGGAAGAGTAGAATCACGCCAGGCGTGAAAAGATGTGAATTGAGCAACGAGAGGTTGTTTGAGAAGCCCAAACATTACAAAGCACCCATAATCATTAGAGCACCAGCATCAGCAGAAGCATCAACCAAGTGAACAGCTGCGTAAGTTCGTGTAAGGAAACGTAGTGGGCCCTTCGCTGATTCGAAAATGCAATAATTATGGCGTAGTGAGTGCTTACCAACTGTGTTTGCGAGGGTCCTTTAAGGATACCTTGAACAACAAGTGTTACGTGCACAGTATCTTTTTTTCCTTCAAGACAGAACAAGAGCTGAAAGTTTGAGATCTCAAGAATGTTGCCTTGTTTATTGAAAATGTTATTTTTTGTTGTAGATTATTAAGAGCACTCATCGTACCATTGCTTTGTTACTTGGCTGAAAACTAGCCAGTTCAGTAAACTCGCTATTCTGGCTGCATGCTGATTGTGATATAGCTCGTTTTCTAATCCGTTCATATCCATCAAATTTTAGGTATGGCCACAAACAAGCTAACACAGCCAAACAGTCTGAAGCTATAGGAACTCCATTAACCTAAGCAGAGGTGGTTAGAAAGGAAAAAAAAAAAACAGGGGGTATTCTGGAGTATTGCATAAGGCTGTCGAGCATTTAGAGTGCAGCATGTGACACTGTAACTGTTGCAGTTCTGAAATCCGCTGTATTCTGCGAAAACATGAATGAGACCCACGGCAGCCGTATTCACCCCGGATATCCCTGCTAAACGCGGTGGTATTGGAGGCACTTCCGCTTGGTGTCAAGTGCCGTTAACCTGGCCCAAGCAGAGACACGTCTCGACGGTGCGATGGCCTTCGTTTGTACTGCGATGTTGACCTTTCCACAGGCACCAATTAGGCACGTCGCTGTAATACGATTGATCGCCCTCTTCAGGTGACAGTCACCAATCCTAGCTCTCGCACGGGTAGTCGAAGGCCGAATGGTATGTTGGAAATCGGCATAGCATTTCTTCGGAGCCCTGTAGGTCACTGTGAAGTAGCTGTGCGTGATTTTCACTAGCTTCAAGTCGGTCACAGGGGGAGGAGCTGTAAGGACATGAAGCAGAATTCGTGTTACGTACAACACACAGTCGGTGTGATGGGTTGTAGAGCACTCGCAGCTATAACGTTGCAGTCGTTTGAGCAGTTAATCGAATGGCCCTTCCAGCGCAAATATTACACAGTATCAATGATAATTTCTCTGACAAGAAACTTACACAACGTAGCGCAACATAAAGGGCAACATTTTTCCGAGATTGGTCAGAAAGTGCTGCCGATCCGGAGTCATGACTTATGGGAACAGACGAGCCAAACATCATATTGTGGCGCAACTTGGAAGTTACACCAAATTCAATAGCGCTAAAGTTAATCACAATATGATGAGTGACCAGCTAGCCCAACAAAAATGTTTAACGAATATTTTAGAGGAGCACGCGTTTAGAAATTAACGAATATTTAACAAAGCAAGTTTCATATCACCCTGCCAATAAAGAAAATGATGCTGCATGACCAAACGACTGTGGCTTAAGTCCCGCCATTAGCTAATGTATGCGCAGTGACTGATTGCTGCCACCACAGGAGGCTGCCTGGTGCCTGTGAGTGCACTCGCAATCACACCGAAATGAAGGTCTTCAGTGTTCGAAGCAAAAAGAGACAGTGCCAAGTGTCATGGCGTGTACGTGATGTAACTTTTTTTTTTCTCGAGCCATGCTTACTGCATGGCTTGTGGCTCACTTATCGCGACGAGAGAAGACTGAAAGCAGTTGCAGCGTGCGGAAAATCTGTCAACGTCCAATTTTATTTGACTGATACGAAAAATGTTTGTGATGGTCAATTCACCGGGCCATAAATTTCTTTAATTATGCCGCTCGATGTTTACTTGTATTATTCTGGTAGGCACCCTCTATATAATTTAATATGGGAGACACCCATGGTTCGACGTGTAATATGATGTTACTGCGCCGGTTGGAATCCCTCTTGAGAGTGACTGTTTCGCGTTTTATTTTCACTGCGCACTGATTAGTAAATCTCGTTTTTCGAAAGCGTGCCTTCACCACTTCATTCGAAACGTCCTCATCCTAAATGCCCCGCGTTGCCACAAAAACAAGACAGAAAAAGAAATGCTCGAACAAACGTAAAAAGAACTTGAGGGGACAATGTGGGATGAGTTTGGATCACAAGATTTTTTCAGCCCTCACTTATTGTTTCAATGTTAATGTGGCTCGATTTCATCCAGGCACGCCTCTGATCTGAGTCGTTTTTTTATAAAACAACGTTGAATGCGCATTTCAATTGGGGATTGGCCAGGAATTATTCTAAGCGTTCTTATGATGGCCTCAACTGAAGTGATAATAGTGCTACTGTGAAAGATCGGGCTGTTTCAGTATAAAGTTGGGCTCCTTTGAGATAAAGAGAAAAACCCAAATTAGCATTTGCGTTGACATGAAGCACACGATGAAAGAATTATTAGAATTATGACAGAAATATCTTCTGGCCACTTTTTCTCTCAGCCGATCATCGACTGGTAACGATTCCTTAAAATGATCAAACTGCGCCGTCCTACCCATCCACTACAGACGCTACGTTCTCAAAGACCTGTCACGATGCCCTTATGTAGCTCATTGACCACTCACGCAGAGGAGGGGCGTGACTATTCACTTTATCGAACTAAAATGAAATGCAGAGTACATAAGCATCCTGAATGATAGGGGTTAAGAAGCCCCGGGAGGAAGACTCATCCGTTTCGAGATATAGCCTAGATTACAGCATATGCAACAGCTCCGAATTTGGTTGAAGCTAACTCTAATATTTAATCTGGCTTAATAGAAGTGACGTACTTTTTCCAGACAGGTAAACTCCGGGTAGCGTCTCTTCATTTGAGGGGCTATCCGGCAGTCCTTTCACATGCGGTTTCACTGTGATGGTCACGTTAGCGCACGTCAGCGGCTGATCGCATGTGACACTTGTTTGGCTCGAGGTAATCACGGCTCCATTGTTGCAGGACACTAAGCCGTTGCTTGCGTTGCCGTTGTCTCCATCGCTGTTGTCGGTGACCTTGACAGTGTAGTATTCCAAGCAGCTTCCCCCTTTCTGCCAAGTCAGGGTAAAGTTGTCGTCCCCGATGAAGCTCACGGTAAGGTTCTTCACGTGAACTGCGGCATTCGTCAGAGCATCGTTATACAATACACCGGGAAGGCCACATTTCTTAATTTGACCCCCACGGCAGTGTTCACCGCATTAACGTTGTAGAATATGAAGATATCTACGACATTGATAGAACGCTTCTGCTTTCGGCTCCGAGCATTGTTATCAAGTTTTTCGCTTTCTACGGGAGACGCTGCTCCCTGCCCCAAGGCGACGGACGCGGAGTCATCCACTGGTCCGCCCAGCCAGAGGTCTGCTATGGCGAGCTCCTCGGTAAATCAGCGCGCCTGGCCCAGAACCAGTGAGGCCAACGGTGATAGTCACTGCATCATGGCTGTGGACGTGGAGCCTTCTGCGGCTATGTCCGACCATAGACCACCTTTGGCAAGCTCGTCGCGGAAACGAAGCACCTGTTCGAGCACCAGCGAGGACACGGAACTGTACTCGGCCACTGGCGACGACTCGTCGGATGACGACTTCGAGACCGTGAGAAGCAGGAAGGCCAAAAGAAGAAGTATCAAGTCGTCTTCACCAGCAGGGACATTAACGTCTCAGTCAAAAGGAGAATGCTGGCCGCACACCATCCTCTTCATGCCCGAGGACTCCACCATCAGCCTTCAAGCAGTAAACAGGCAAGCTCTCTCTATGTACTTTGAGGGGGTAGCACCAAACGACATTAAGGATATCCGGGTGAACACGCGGAAGAATATTCTAGCTGTGGACACAATGACTGCCAGCGCCATAGACAAGCTTCGCAGAGTATCAGATTTGGGAGGCATCAAAGTACGACCGGTTATTCCAATGGACGGTGCCTGCACGGCGGGAGTAATCTACGACATTGATATGGCCATAGCAAACTCGGACCTCCCAACTCTCATAAAACCAGCGAACGAAGGAGTTCTCATCGCGAATGTACTTCGCCTCGGAAACACCCGATGTGTAAAGATAATGTTCAAAGGAGATTCCATTCCGTCGCATGTCAAAGTGGGACACTTCCGACATCCTGTTCGACCATTTGTCCCTAAACCACTCCAGTGCCATAACTGCATGAAAATTGGTCACATCAAGAGTGTATGTACAAACACCACAGTATGCCCCCGATGCGCTGAGCCGCACACTGCAGACGCATGTCGGGCAACAAGTCTGAAGTGCAGAAACTGTGATGGTCCGCATGATGCTGCATCCAAGGAATGCCCTCGGATTAAGAAGGAAATAGCCATTATCAAACAAATGGTTAGGGACAATTCAACCCACAGAGAGGCTGCTGAAAGGGTACGGCGGCGACGTAGTCGCCGACGGAGGCGTGGAGGACAGAGTGTTGCGCATAACCCATTTCCTCCGAGCACGAGTGAAGTAGTAAGCACGAAGCGAAAAGAAGTGGAGAAGCTCACAGCTGCGGATGAGTGGCCTACGCTTCCGCGTACACAGCCTGCAAAGGAGCCTCCTGCGAGGCCTCGCCGCCCTACACCTTCCACCGAGTCTACTTCCGTTGAGGATGTGTCAAGGGTCGATCGACAGATCATCCCGATGTTACGATCCCTCGTCGCTGTCATGGCAGACATACTAAGAAGCCTGGGAACTCCAACCGCTCGAAGCGGGTTACAGGTGTTGGACGCGCTGAGCCCAGTCCTCGCCTCCCTCGCGTAGAGTCATGGCAGGAGATCAACAATCGTTCCGCAAAGACGTCAGAGAAGCATCAGTCATCCAGTGGAACGCAAGAGGACTTAGATCACGGATTTCCGATTTTCGTCAGTACGTGTTTTCTAACCTTTTCCCAATCATCGTAATATGTGAACCGAAATTATCAAACCCGATCAGGCTATCTGGCTACGAATCAATCCCGTCCAAAACCCGAAACGAAAGCAGCAAGGTCATTGTGTATATTCGTCGGGAGCTTACCTACATCATTCAACCTGTGTCGCCTCATGATGAGAACCAATATGTTTGCCTGACTGTGAAGCAGAAAACCCTCACCTTCACATTAATAGGTGTCTACTTATCTCCCTCAGCCCGTTTTGATTGCCAAAGACTGGATGACATTCTTTCGAGCGTCCCGGATCCGTGGATAATTATAGGAGACTTCAACGCCCACCACCCAATCTGGGGAAGTTCAAAAGTCAATACCACGGGCCGGAGGCTGGCTTCATTTGTATCGACTCATGAACTGTCTCTACTTAATGATGGGAGCCCTACATTTCTGCGAGGATCAACGTACAGCAGCTGTTTGGACTTGACGTTCGTGTCACGTCGCTTCGCCACAAGCGTTAAGTGGTTTTTAGACATCGAGACACATGGTAGCGATCACATCCCCAGTTATCTCACCATCGAAGGCTTTGCTAGCGACCACCCGCCGAAAACCGTACGGAAGATCGATCTTTCAGCATTCAAAACCAACATTGAACACGCTTGTGAAAAAGGCTTAACCTCTGACATTGAGCAAGCGATCAAACAAGCAGCGCAGAGTGCGATGCGCACGCTGGCATATTCTTCAAGCCCTCAGAAACGGACATGGAGTTAGAGCGACTCCGTGCGACTCGTCGGCGTGCGGAGCGTAGATATCGACGCACAAAATCCATTCAAGATCTACGGATGGCCAGGCGCATGCAAAAGAAGATCCAGCGTCGTATAGACAAACTGGAGTTTCAACGGTGGGCGAAATTTTGCGCGAGTCTAGACCCTCGCAAACCGCTTTCTCAAATATGGCGAACCGTGCGAGGCCTACGCACATTTCCCCAACACGTTTTCCGTTTAAAGCCTTGGCCCTTTTCCAAAATAGAAGGGATATCGAGGTAGCGGAAGATTTTTGTAGGAAGATTGCGGGCCCACCAAATTGCACAGAAGCCCTTACTGCTCATTACACGCCACATTCACTTGACCCGCACCTGGACCTGCCTTTTTCAATGGAAGAACTGAATGTGGCTCTTGCTTCATGCAATCGATTGTCATCGCCTGGGCCGGATGGCATATCATACCGCCTATTATGCAATCTCGGTGATCGAGCACGAAGTGCTTTGCTGGAAGTATTCAATGAGTCTTGGAGAGATGGAACGGTCCCCAGAGAGTGGAAAACAAGCCGGTTGGTTGCACTTCTCAAACCTGGAAAATCGCCTCTAGAGCTGACATCATACCGCCCAATAGCGCTGGCTAGTTGCGTAGGGAAGCTGATGGAGCGAATGATCCTTGCCAGACTCGAGTGGTTCCTAGAACGCCATAGAATATATCCAGACGCCATGGCCGGTTTTCGTCGTCTTCGGAGCTCCATTGACAATGTCATTGACCTGGTGACCTACGTACAACACCAGAAAATGAGCAGACGGTTATCTGTCGCACTATTTTTAGATGTCAAAGGAGCATATGACAATGTTTCTCACGAAGCCATACTTGACGCCCTCGAGTCAGTTGGTTTGGGTGGGCGAGTGTACCGCTGGATCCAATGCTACCTACATATGAGATCATTGTTTATGCAAACTGATGATGGGCCGACTTTTGAACATTATACACACCGTGGTGTTCCTCAAGGTGGTGTATTGAGCCCCACACTGTTCAACCTGGTTCTGATCGGTCTCGTTGAACGCATACCAGATTCCGTGCAGATATCTCTCTATGCAGATGATATTTGTGCCTGGACATCAGGTGTAACACGTCCTCAGGTACGTGCGAGACTCCAGAAAGCAGCGAATTCAATATCGGCGTACCTTAGAGAACAAGGCCTCGAGATTTCTCCTGAGAAATCGGCGCTGGTCGCGTTCACGCGGAAGGCAATGACGTCATATCCCATCGCCATCAATGGACACAGTGTCTGCTACGCCAGGACCCACAGGTTTTTGGGGGTCACGATCGATCGAAATCTCTGCTGGAGTCCCCATGTGGCCACTCTAAAGAAGCGCCTAACGGCCATCGCACAACTTTTCAAGTTCCTCGGAGGCAAAACGTGGGGCACATCAGTGCACGCGATGTTGCATTTGTACAAAACGCTGTTTCTGGGGTACCTGCGGTATAGCTTGCCGGTTCTGACGAACGCTTGCAAAAGCAGTATACGCACAATAGAAAACGCCCAGGGCCAGGCACTCAGAGTTTGTCTTGGATTACCACGCTGTACATCAACAGCGGAAACCATCGCGATTGCCAAAGATCATCCGGCCACAGTGCACATTACTTTGGAGGTGCTTAGAGCTCATATTAGACACCTTGCTCGCGCCCCTGCCCACCACCTAGCTTCGCTTCCAGAAGATCGACCGAGTGCCTCCTTCTGTAAGAGAGTATTGACTTTCCGTGAGTGCCTTCCAACAGTCTACACACCTCCGGAACGGATACTAACACCTCCTTGGTGCTTGGACCGACCAAAACTGCGCTTGACAGTGCCGGGGATTCGCAAGAAGGCGGAGCTCTCGGCGCCAGCTTTAAAGCAGATGATTCTACTCATGCTACACGAAGAATACAAAGATCATGTCAAACTTTACACGGATGGCTCGACAACTGTTGGAGGATCTGCAGGTGCTGTGATCTTCCCAGCAAGAGCCGAAACCATCCAGTTCAGAACGTCACACAAGACGACATCGACAGCCGTGGAGCTCGCGGCACTCCGCAGCGCACTCCGCAGGATTGACCAAGAGACACCACAAAAATGGAGCATTTTTACTGATTCGAAACCAGCTCTCCAATGTGTACACAATACTCTACGTCGTGGACCTCAAGATCAATTGGCGCTCGAAATACGACAACTGTACCATCACCTAATAGACGAAGGACATGACATATCTTTTCAGTGGTTACCAGGCCATTGCGGCATCATCGGTAACGAGCATGCCGACAATGCAGCTAAGAATGCTCACGAAAATGGAGTGATGGAACCTATTCCACTATCAAGAAGCGACGCAGCAGCAAAGATTAATACGCTTGCGCAGGATGTCGCAAGGTCTATGCGGAATACGCCCGGTTTTCTCCACACCCGTCTTCACCACCTGGACCCATGCCTACGACTTACTATTCCATCTGGCCTACCCCGATCCGAGACGACCCTTCTCTGCCGTATGTGGCTTGGGGTGTCTTTCACGAACGCTTTTGCCTGCCGCATCGGAATGAGAGACAGCGCTACATGCGACCATTGCGACAATGACGAAACAATTGAACATATTTTATGTCAGTGCCCCCAGTACAGCTCTCAGCGACAGTCCCTCTCAGCAGTGTTTGCTCGCCTCGACGACCAGCCATTTTCTGAGCAGTCAATCTTGGAATGTCGGAAAGATCGAGCTTCACGCCAGAAAGCAACGAAGGCGCTGATGAAGTTTCTGCGAGCGACCCGCCTCGTAGAATGATTGTGACACTACTGTGTGCGAGTGTGTGTATGTGTGTTTGTGCTTCTCTTCCTCCCTTTCCCCTTACCCTTTCCCCAGTGCAGGGTAGCAAACCGGATATGTTTTCTGGTTAACCTCCCTGCCTTTCCGCATTAAAATTTTCTCTCTCTCTCTCTCTATCTACGACATTGATCCTACACAATGTGAAACAGTCTAAATGCAATAAAAAACATCAGATTTGTTCTTTTAGGCTTAGGTCTTTCCGAGAAGCTCGAAGAACCCCCAAATCACACCACGTTCAAAGGCGAGACCAAGGTTTCTTTCTCGCTTTCGCTAACCTCGTCACAAGGGCTACCTCTTAGCCTCTTACTTCCTAATAAAACACGTGAGCACTAAGCGTACAGCCAGTCAGGATTCGGCGCTTTTCGTCTGCATGCTGCTTGAAGGCGATTAGGCAATATGTCAGGGCGGCCTCTTGCGTAATCGCCTGGAAGTAGTTGGTTGCAATCTTGCCTCAGGTGCCACATCACCTATGACTGGTTGTTAGGCTCGCTACTAGATGACGGGGAAAAAAGGCTGTGCTCTCACTTGGACGTGCTGCAAGCAGCCGCCGGAGAGAAGCTGTGCGCTCGCGTGTTCCCTTTCATAAAAATCGACATTGTACCTACAAGCTGACAAGTGTTGGGTACGTAACTTATCAAAGATTCTACAATTGTAGGCCGGTCGAGAGATATGTGACATGACGGCTGTATTATGCAGACGAGTAAGACCTCGTTTCGAAAGCAAATAGACACACCAACCCGACAATCGTCATTTTCTTACCTTTGCCTGGAATGAAAAAGTCCGTCAATGCGACACCAGGGGAAGTGCGCGCAGATGGTTTACTGATATGTGTCCGCACCTTGAAGACAACGTTTACGCAAGGTTCTAAACGACTACAAGTGACTTGGGTCTGGTCTGGGCGTATTATTGTGCCGTTAACACATGACCCTACCACATCCTGTGATATATTAGGCCTGCTGTTGTTGGCGCTGGTGACTTCAATCCAGTAGTAGTCAAAGTTGACCTTGGGTTTTTCCCATGCAGCAGTGAAGAAATCCGCCCCGACACTCACGATGTGAAGGTTCGTCACTTCTGGGAGATCTGTAATCAGTTAGAAACTATAAAAAAAGTGTTCATCTGACAATTGTCTTCAGTGATTTTATAATTGCTGCCGAGACACAACGGCAAACAAATTGTTGAAGTGCAACAATTTTCCTAAGGAAGCTTGGATGAATCTAAGTTATTTTTGTTGCATGAAAATTCAAGCACTCAACAACTTTTTCTTTGCTAGCTTACAGCATGTGCGATATCTGAATACGGAATGGGGTACCATGAACCACCCACTGTTCTATGTTGCACTGAAGAAAAATGGCTGTCGACAAACCATTGACACCACGAAAAAAAAAATATCGCGCCCATTTTGAGCGGCTAACAAAAAGAACGGCAACTCATTTTAACATCAGTGAAACATAAACACGAATGGAAAGTGAACCTTCAGCTTTTGTGAAACCACCAAAAATGTTCCGCCGGTAAATGATGAAACAACACCACGCTCTGGTAATGCGTACACAAATGGCTTCAGAGAGTCATAAAAGCCAAATCCCGAAGTTCCTCATTTCTTCATGAGTTCAAGATGCCTTTTATTTTTGAAATCAGATGTTCCAAATTAATGAGACAGTGGTCTCGGTAATGAAACTGAATAATTTCGTAAAGACGAAATTAGAGCATTATTACTTTCTCAGCTTAGCAGATGTTTACCTATTGCTTTACTTGAACTCACCATAATATTCCTCACATTTTTTTTGCGGTGATCATCGAGGCGCCAGAAATTACGACCTTTAACAATGAATCTTCATTATTGCCATCACTGCTTTGCCATTTGGTACGCATCTATTTTAAGTGATCAGATAGGACGAGCAAATTTATTGAGCTGACTCAGAGCTGATGTCATGTTTACCATGTATGGATCTCTATATGCACTGTGTTGTCCAACAGTACGCTCAACAACGCATTCATTTTTATGCACGGGCAATCGTCATCATACTTCCATCACTTACTTCCTGTAAGAGTTTAACATCTTGTACGAGCTCAATGTTCGGGATTTGCTTTTATCCGTTTAGCACATCAGATGTGTGAAACTTTCCTTGGACTGTGATTAATCGTTCCACTTTCTGGGCAATTGGAATTACATCAACCACAACAGCTCAATTTAGCAATATGCCACAGTAGAGTCGTTCGTGTTCCTATAGAATCCTGAAATATGCAATCCGTGTATATTTTTGAAATGCGAAGGAGCTCTTGGACTCACGTGTGTAACACCGTACGTACGTGCTTCCGTACGAATGCGCCCCTACGCGGGCCCCTCCCCACAGGCATTGAAGTGGTGCCAAGCAGGTCACGCCACAGCTGCGCGTTCATGTCATGCTCCACTCGCAGTTCGTGCTGACGTCGCTCTTTCCGCCAGGCGCATGCTAGCTGCAGCGCCCACAGCTACCGCCTCATCCGTCCAGCCGCAACCCCTGCCGCTACCACCACCACTCGCCTAGTGCGACTGCCGCTCGCTACACCACCGACTCGTGAGCAATAGAGGAACGATCCGGAACTTCTCGAAGGCACTTCAGCTCCAAACGGTTCAATGAAGGACAAACGGTTCAATGAAGCCTACATGAAGCCCCACCTACCTCCCATGTCCTTGCATTTCAAAGAAACGTTTATTCTAGTAAATGCTACACCGAGTGTCGCTTCAAACCGTTCTTCTAACACCCGTGTCGACGCTCGTTTCAACCCGGTCAACGAAGCGCGCACTGCTGCTGCTTCGCATCCCATCAGGGTTCAGTTCGGGTGGATGGTCCACAATTTTATTGCTAATAATGTCACTAATTTTAACGCCCAATAAAGACCTGCTGTGAGCTGTAGTGATTGTATATATTATCTGCTGTCACATTTAGACATGTAATTACAAGCTTCCTTTCATCGTAACAGACAAATATTTTTCATGGCTTTCAGTGTCAGAATCCTGATCAATTCCCATGATTAACTGTTTTCCGTTTTATTCAATCGTTGCGCGCGATTTCCCTTCAACTGTGGTCAATTATTCCACATCCTGGATCCTTCTCGATTACTGTGACCACAGCTATTAGGTTTGGAACACCCCACTATAAATTTTTCTTTGTCCAAAAAGCTACAAAATAAGACGCAGAGTCCAAACTCCGACAAATAACGTTTCCATTAATTTCTCAAAGAGAATAAAGTTTTACCATACATCTAATATGATTTCCTTTTCACTGCTATGTTTATACCTGCAGTTCCAGCCATCCGGTCAAGACAACCAGCAACAACCTGTCATGACCTTTTGTGACAAAGCCTTTTTGAAAGATGTAGTGCTATGAAACGAACTCGTAAACTCACCGAAAATTCGGGTCCGCAGTTCCGTGACCATCGGCCGACTATTTATTTCGTCGATTCCACACCGTGCTTTTGCGGTAACCAGTATGCAGTATGGCGTATCTTCAGTGGTGTTCAATGTTACCGATGGCTGTTGCGTCTCGTGCTCCTCGCAATCACTGAAGTTTCCCACTTGGCCACATGTCCTGAACGTTCTACATACCTTGATGTTATATGACTCTATTACGGCAGCCATTTCATCGGGATGGTTCCAGTGCACTTGGGTCAGGGATTTTGATTTCGCTACCAAAGATATGTTCCTCGGTGGATGAGGTACTGGAAAAAGACATCAAATTAACAGCACGGTGAATCAGTGGTGGTGCAGGATTTGCAATAAGATATATGACTACGTAATAAACTCTTCTACTAAATTGTCTCATGTCTTTTTAAACGTGGCCCTCCCACTCAATACACCGCCCAAAACAACTTAAAGATTGATACTTACACTACAGTGGTCAGTACCTCTCTTAATACACCGTAGTATACTACAAAGAACAGAAAATACTGCCAAAGAAAGCATAGAAGATGTTGTTATAATCAATGTAATGTAAATGAAAAAAAATCAACAAAAAGATAACTTGCCGTGAACAGGGACCGAACCTGTGAGCACCGGACGTGTTGTTTGATGGCCGCAGGTTCGTTTCCTGCAAACGGCAAGTGATCTTTTCATCCACATTTCTTTCTTCACAGTTACATGACATTTACTATTAATACCATCAACTATACTTTCCTTGGCCGTGTTTACCGTTCTCATTCATATTGCCACGAATAAAAAAAAACGCAGGCAGTCAGGAGTTGACGTTTTTCCCGGGACCAGATGAACAGGAACAACGTTCTCTTTTTGTACATGTCACAACAGATGACCCAATTACATACCCAATTACATGTGTCAATATTGTGTTCAACAAAAAATAACGAGTGCTTAAAATTTCGTCGCCTCGCCGCGGTGGCCTAGTGGCTAAGGCACTCGGCTGCTGACCTGCAGGTCGCAGGATTGAATCACAGCTGCGGCGGCTGCATTTTCGGTGGAGGCAGAAATGTTGTATGCCCGTGTGCTCAGATATGGGTAACAATTTACACTTCTTTCCTTCACCGTAAAAGACGCACAGTTTCAGTTCCCCATGTTTCTTCATATATAGTCTCCAGGACTTCCACGTTCCTGTCACGGTTAAGAATGCATTTGTGAGGTTGGTAAATATTGAACGCATCGAATAACCTGTGTGCAATCAAGTACAACGGTACCGGCAAATACAGCCGTCGTTCATCAAAAATATTGCCTGCGGCTCGAAGTGAATCACATTACAGTATCCCACGAGAGAATTCGTAAACATATCATTCGAATACTTTATAGCCTGCTCTGCGCATAGCGACAGGCCCTCTACGGGATTCAGCCAGGAATATTTGATCATTCGAAAAGCTATAGCAACGGCGTATGCACATAAAACATTCAGCATTCTTACGCCTATAACGTGCAATTAAAATACTAAAAGCCTACCGCTACCACGAAATGAAAATTTTCCGGTACTTGTAGTGCCATGTCATGCACGCCGCATCTGAGGTCAGCAGATCTGTCATCGTAAAGCTTTGCATGGAAAGAAATATAAATAAGAGCTATTTAATGCAGCTATTGTTACTTTTGCTTGCGTTGAGTTTGCTGATATTATTTGGCTACAAAAACTGATTCGCGACCAAGCAAGAGATATAGAGAAAAATGCAAAAACGGTAGGGAGGTTAACTAAACTACGTGCAGTCTGCCACCCAAGACTGGGGAGAGGGGAATAAAAAAATAAAAGAGTGAGAAGGAGAGAGAAGGAGAGAGAAGGAGGGGTACATTGCTTACCGCGCACACAGTGCAGGGTTTCACAGGAGGTAGCTTGGCAAGGTTGCCTTCAACAATTGTAGAGGGCATCACCTTTTACCTTTACTGTCTCACATAAGGATGATTCAGTAAACCTCGTCTCAAGGCAGTCATACTGAATTATTAACCCAGTTTCGTTTTTGAAAGATATCTTCATTCGTAAACTGGTGACGTGCATTGGAAGGTTTTAACGCAAATAACGTGCAAAAAATACGCTGCATACAATATCCGTGTAAGAACTGAGGCGCCCTGATGTTAGCAGAAAACTCACTGCTATGTTACAACTAACGGCCATGTAGTAATAAATACGTAATAGTCAGAACTAACGCACAATGCCAAGAAAAGTATAGGGGGTGTTATTGTTAGAATACATGATAAGCTGTAAAAAAAGTAATGCGGATGGAAAGGTAACTGGCTGATTGCAAAGACCGAGCCTACGACCATCAAATAATTTATCTGATGTTTTACCGATTGTGCTTCCGCAGTGGTCATTACCCCGTGCAATTGTGGGGTATGTATGTTTATTTAAACCTGGGAATGGTAGTCAGCACCGCTAGCTCACATTGTCAGTTATTTTTGATTGTTTTTGTCTCTAAAGAAGAAAAAAAATGAGTCCTTGAAATTCCACATTTTTCTTAGTGATTGAGAATGAACTGCCTCTATGCATGCAAATCATCCGTTTGAGAAATAACTTGACTGTAATTGTTCAAATATTTCGGAAAGAGACCCCCCCCCCCCCTCCTACATTTCTCATCAGATGTTATCATTGTCGCTTAGTGTCCCCGCTAGTGAACCTACTTGTGGCCCACATACCTTCCGCAGGTATGAAGATATTGTTCACAGTCACTCCAGAAGATATCCGCTCTGGCTGGCCACTCAGGTGAGTGCGCACAGTGCAGGACAACTTTGTGCAAGGCTCAAATGGTCCGCAGGTAACTTGCGTCTGGTCACGGTGTACGATGGTGCCGTTGGCGCATAGACCCAGCGTGCGCTTGTCAATCTTTTTGTTGCTGACGTCATTGTCAAAGGCTTCGATAGAATAATAGTCAAATCGACTTGGTGGGCGGTTCCACGTTAACGTAATGTAGCCATTTCTTACATCAGCCGTCAAGTTGGAAACATCAGGAAGTTCTGCAAAATGATATAGATACTTCAAAGAAATTTCGCGAAAGCCCCCTAATTTTACTAATCATCAGTAGCACATTTAAAGAATTTCTTTCACTCATTTTCACATCTAGTGACACTGTCAGACCTTGACGGGATATTAAAAAAGCGGAAAAACACTAAAAAAACAAAACTACTGCAACGAATCTCACTTCTCAGTGCACAATAAAACGCATATAACAAACATTTCATCACGATTACTACGCATGTAATTAAACACAGAATCGCATAAAGCAGACCTTTAGGAGATCAACTGGGATCCGCGAAGAAAGGCTATTTTGAAACTGAGAACAAATACCCCATTTCATGGTATTTTCAACCAATATTATAAATGCCTACACGCTTGCCTTCTCAAACAAACAGTGTGATCACATCAAAGGGGGGAAACTCACCAAAGATTGGTGTCCGTAACTCCGCTACTGCTGGCTGGCTCTCGAATTTGTGGACTCCGCAAGTTCTTTTTTCCGTGACCAGTATGCAGTACAGGGTATCGGCAGTGCTGTTGAATGTTACCCACGCCTGGGAGGTCTCTTGTTGCTCGCAATCAGCCAAGATTTCCATTGGGCCACACGCCTGGAACGTTCGACATATCTGGACAATATAGGACTTGACACCATATGTCACGCTGTCATGATAGTCCCACAGCAATTGTGTCAGTGACGAAGACTTCGGGACCATTTTTACGTTCTTTGGTTGAGGTGGTTCTGAAAGAGGGCGCACAAGATTATCATACATATATAAAATCGCACACTTCACAATAAAGAGAGAGAGAGATATAGACTTTATTAACTTCACAATAAAGACCCCTGAACAAATAATCACTCAAATTATGACTTTTCTGCATAATCTCGCGTATCTCAGCTTTAAGGTTAGCTGATGCCACATTGATCAGCTACAGTAAAAAAAGTGCTTCCTTCTTGTTTGCCACAGTGTAAATACCTGATAAGAATCTTAGCAACCATTTCATGCCTCCAGAAGCGCTTCCGTCACAATTATTTCCCCTAATGAGAGTATATCATAATGCAAGAGATATTACATAAACGATGCTTCATTATGGGCAAACATGTGCGTAGGAAAGTAGGCGTGAAAATATTCCCTCAGGATTACGGCACTACCGGCTGCGAAATCTCAGCGCAACTGTTTTGGTGTTGTGAATTTGCGAAAGTTGAGGCACGACTGCCTCGCTAACCAGGAGACCGCTGACGTGAGCGCATGAACGCGTCTACCACAGCCACTGCAGATAAGCCCGGCTGCATTCAGAACTTTATTTCCCCATACGTTATCGGTGGACATCCTCGCGGCACACCTTAGCAAATACTTAGCAGGTGACCGTACGACGACGTGCACTGTCATGGTACAACGGGTGGCTGCCGCGATGCCTGTCATCTTACTAAAGCCTTCGCCTCTTCCTCGTTATCACTGCCTTGTTATCGCCACCCTTCATCTTCCGCGGTGCTCCACGTTCATTATCTTTTCTTCTAGGTCGCTCTGCCAGTTACGTCAATGGCACACTATAAAACTTGTTTATTATGGCTGATGTGCTCGGAAAGCTACATGCAAAATCAGAGAGTCCGCTGCTGTGTTCAACTGACAAAGTGTCCCTTCTATGATGCAGTTGCCGAAGTTCATGCGGTTGCCGAGGTCCTACTGACCGGGCCTCATTGGAGGAGCTGTCCCACCCAGACGACGCACCAATAAAACCACTAAACTACAACGCGATGTTAGAGTACTACTGCCAGAGCCACAATAGACATCCTAATGTTCATATTTCGCGTAACAGAGCAGAGGCTGTTGCATAGCGGCAGCTGCAGCCCATTTAATTTCCTTGCATTTATACACTAAATAGCTTTTATTTTTCTGTACCACCCCCCCTCCCCTTTACTGCCCCTTATGTAGGTCTGTACTGGCAGCGTACCACTCTACGAGGTACGAGGGAATGCTCCACTAAATCCCACCCCTTTCTCTAGGCAAGTCATTAAGAATACTACTACTCAACTGCACTGGTCTGCTCTTACGCTCACATAGTACTGCACTGCTCATGTTACGCCGGCAGAAACAGCAGCGGCTGGTCCAGCAGGCTTGCAGGGTTGCGCAAGGCAATCAAACCCTGGACTGAGGGCACCATCCAACGAAGGCTCTCTGTGTATACATTCGCTAACAAAAGATTAATATCTTTCTCCTAACGCACATCTCCAAAGTTCCGTAGGTCAATCCCCTTTTTCGTGCTCATGCCTGAAAGGAATGCGTCCCTTCGTTTTACAAGCTGGAGCCTTCGTGAGGCAATGCAGACGCTAACACATGGGCTCACTGGCTCTCATAGTAGAAAAATTCCTTGGGGAGGTGGAAAACGTTTCTTTCTCGCTCTCTTTCGTCCTCGTTCACTCTATCGCGTACGCGGACGATGGCAACGCCGCTCAACGCAGGAACGCCTAAACGCCAAACGCCTCACCACACACCCATTGCAGCGGCTTTCTGACGCAGTGACACGCCCTCTCTTCATGAAGGAGAGAGAAGGCTACATGAGGCAGTGCACCCTCTCTCTGTAAGGAGAGGGTGTGGCGCGGCGCCAGAAAGTCATGCGCTGGCGCGCTGCAATGGGTGTGTGTGGTCAGGCCTTAAGAGTTGCGCTCTGCGATGACAGAGTCTGCTAAAGCGTATCACGTAAGGGTTCCTTTGCGCCAATGCTCTGTAAACGTGACTGTACCATTCGCGCAAGATCTGCGTCGTTGCGGTTTCAATGTCATGTACCGTACGTGACCAATACCCGGCGCCCAATTCTCGCTGATATGCTGTAACATGGAGCCGATCTCTTGAATTCTTATATCGGCGTCTAGAGCACTGGGCGAATTTGCGTCGCAAGGGCACAGGTCGTACTGGATACTCACTCGACGAGGGATGTAACGCGCCTTTAATTCCTGCAAGAGGTGGTCGGGAGAGTCCCTACATTAGTGGGTGAGAAGATATAACCACTTTTGTGTCTGCGACTTGGTGCCCGAGATGTCTATTAGTTTTCAAGCAGTGTTTCATGTCTTAGCAGTATTCAGAGTGCCGAATGGCTATTACGAAATACCCTCTGACTGTTGCTTGTGTACAATTCTGAACCTGCTTCTCTGACACTTCACAGGTCAGCCAACTGTCTCGTGCCACTTGCACGAGACACATCTGTAGCGCTGCCACAACAAGTGCGATTATGCGCGAGGCACTGTAGACGCTCACACAATGGCTTGCAAATTTTTCTTGCCAAAGCTTATTCGGAGTAGCCTCTGTGGCACTTATCACCTAAAGTATCTGTAAGGCCATTATTTAGAGGGCAAGGTAGGCAACTCGCCATAATGCTATCTCAATTTTTTCTTGCACATGCCACATTTGTGAGTAGATGCTCGCGTCATTTTTGTTAAGGATTCCCGATCAAGTCGAGACCGTTATCAGTAAGCGAGAGAGGGTGTGACCATTTGCGTGCATTACCTTTTAGATACTACACGGCAATGAACTCCCCTAGTAATAAAACATAATCATGATAAATGTATTTACGGGTATAACTCGTTCATTTATTCATGCAAACAAAACAACCACAATATTTTTGTGGGCCGCGTTTATTTGCGGGCAAGGAATTTTCGTGGACACTTATCTCCCGTTCACTGGAAAGTTGTACCCAAAAGAGCGTCCTAAGAGAACATTTCCTTCACAAGGCATGAAGAAACCAGCTACCCTTCTAAAACTAGGAAAGCGACTTACTTATTTACGTAAGCAAGCTAGTCCACCAACCAAGGCCAGTGTACTTATAGTTAAGTCCATCGTCAAAATCATAGGTACTCAAATTTTGCGGAGCCCTCCTGGGCATCCCTCGTAATCATATTGCGGTTTTCTTACGTTTACCTCACCAATAATTATTATTAGTCCACTACCGTCAACTTCTGTTCTAAGAATGTTAGCAAGAATTGACGCAGAAAATTGCATGAACTATATTAGAGATGAAAGTCTTTAGGGCCTAGGCTTGTCCATTGGCGTAAGCCTTGTGTACCGAAGTCACCGCAGGGGGCGATGACGATGAAGAACTGCTGCGTTCCAGACCACACATTCTTTTTCTGCTATCACGGCACAACACATGCAAGGTATCCACACTAAGCCACGACGATGACGCTGATGAAGATTATGACAACGGCAATCACGGAGAACGACTGGCTCGTGCAGTACATGACATATCGATATGCACTACGATGCGTTTCGTGTGATTGAAAACAACCAAGAAGCACCAAAGGAACGTGAAGAGACCTTGTTTTGACGAACTTCCAGCTATATGCAATACCACAAAGCTGTAATAATGAAGGCAAAACAAAAAAAATCACAACCTAGAGCTACACACCATTTATGAATAATAAACATCGTATATAACTGTACACCACTTTGTAACCCATTTACATGCGTGAGTGTTTAATGACATGGGTGATCTATGGTAACACCAAACGATACCACTATTTCGCCCACTCATCATCATTCACTTCGAGGATATGCCATGCCTTTTTTCTGAGGCCAATTTTTATTAATGTCTGCCTGATATACTTATCAGACACTCTTATCAGACTCAATATCCCAGTTTCTGAAGCGAGTGATAATGCTTATACGTACCTTGGCCAGGTATGACGATGTCTTTGACTGACACTCCAGATGACATGAGCTCCGGTGGCCCGTTCAAATGAGTGTGCACGGTGCAGGACAAAAATGTGCAAGGCTTAAATGGTCCGCAAGTTACTTGCGTCTGCTCAGGGCGAATGATGGTGCCATTGGCGCATAGACCTAGCATCTGTTTGTCATTATTCTTGCTGCCAGGGAGGTTCCCAGTGACTGCAATGGAATAGTAGTCGAACCGACCACGCGGTCGCTGCCACGTTAAAGTAATGAAACCATTTTCGACACCAGCAGTCATCAAGTTGGCAACATCGGCAAGTTCTGCAAAAAAAAAGAAAGAAAACAAATGCGCAATTTCGAACGTTCGTAGGTGCACGAGAACACAATGAGTGGTACAAGCTACTGTTGCGATTTTTTCTCGAAATAGTCAATTACGAACTAGGAGACATACGCAAACAGGCAATGTTCCAGAACTGATAACGATGCGATATTATTTATTTACACTGTACATGAAGCTTTGATCACTAAATTTAGGTGAGAAAAAATTACAATAGGAATTATTTTAAATATGCATGTCTGCTTGTTATTAAAGCATAGGTGAAAACAGCTGTAATGCGCTTTGCTAACAAAACTCGCTCTAAGAGATAATTTGCAATTAGCCAGCCGAATGTCATCATTTTAGTTGCTAGTGTCATTGCATAAAAAAGTATACGTACGTCAAATTCGAGCGTTATACATGACATATGGTTCAGGCCCCATCGATAATGCAAAATGAACCTATGCGATTACCGCAATAGTTTTGCAACACGCCCTGGTGGTCTGGTGGTTATGACGTTTCATTGTAGCATAAACACTAGATGACCAGTTGGATTCAATCCCGCAAAATTAGGTGCACGTTAAATATCCCATGTAGTTGGAATTTCCGAAGCGCTCCACTACGGTGCCTCTCATAATCATACGATTGCTTTGACAAGTAAATCACCAAGAACTACCTTGCAACACACATTTAAGTGTGTGCTTGTTGCTGAGCTCGACTTATAACGTTTAATTTGCACTTCATGTGGCATTGCGAAACCAACTTCCTTTCAACAATTGGCTTCTCATAAATTTAGTGCTGAACTTGAGCAGTTTGAAGACACGAACAAGGCGGAGATTTCTTCGATGCTAACGCCTTCGGTATTTTGCAGCATGTTTGCTTTATTCATGTGCTGGTTTTCACGAAAGTGATGAGCAGCCCGTTTGTTATAGCGAAACCAAACACCGAATTAATATTGGCAACGTCGGTCGCGTGCAGAGGCCGAAAAGAATTATAAGCCCATCTTAAAACCACCCTAGTGTTCAAGATCTTTGCAAGACATGAAAGTCTTCTTGCACTATTGTGGTTTAGCTGAGAATTCTAAACGTGCTGCGCAAGCGCAAAGAAGAGGAACGGCACCTTTTCTCTGTCACTGCTCTTTTTTTTCTGCTTGCGCAGTACGTCTTGGGTTCTTAACAGGACAGCATCTCCACAAATAAAATGTCACGTAATAAACAAATACGACGTTTACAAAGCGGTTTTACAAGATCCAAGTTCGTGAGAGTTCTGCACTGCACAGCGAAAAACAAGGCACTGGCGCACGGACTATTGAGTCGCCATCCACCTCTTGCTCGCTGACAGTGTGCGGCATTATCAAGTGAAGCAGGAAACTCACCGAATACTGGAGTCCGTATTTCTGCAACAGCTGCCTGGCTGCTGATTTCATCTGCTGCACATCGTGTTCTCGCCGTAATATGTACGCAGTACGCCATGTCCGCAGTGCTGTCGAAGGACACCCACGTCTCCGACGTCACATGCTCTTCGCAATCACTCATGTACGCCGCTTGGCCACATACCGTGAACGCTCGACATATCTTCACGTTATAGGAATCTACCAAGGAGTTCGCTTTCCCCGTGTGGTCCCAGTGCAATTGGGTGCGTGATCGTGATGCAGGTACCATAACGATGTTCGACGGTGGGTATGGTTCTGGAAGATGAAATCAAATTCCCAACGGTATGGGGAATCGGTGGTACATAGAATAAGTCACGGAACAAACGGGGATGGTATTTCAGTTTTTCTGTTCCTTTGTTACGCTAAAAATGGACAGCCACAATGTGCGGAAAACCACTGAGGTGGAGTTAGGCAGCTGCGTTGGGTACCCCTCCCCCCCCTCTTATCGGAAATGAAGATGCACAGAAAACTTTATCAACAAATAATCGCACTTACAGTTACAATTGAAACATTTCATTCCGAAAATTAAGAATCAAGTGCTGAAGATATTATTTGCTTACACCTAACGAAATGTAATAGGCCCACGTGTACCTTTACCTTCAGTTTCCTAATATCACATTTTTGGCCAGTAGTTCACCACATGTGCACTTAATTCATTTTGATGATAGAAATATCTATGCAAGGCTATGCGTACTTGAATATCAATGGAATTTCATTGTTTCATCACAGCACAGTGTGATAGGAGGTGAAAAGAGAATCAATCAATCGGAATGGCTTGAGGGAGTCCTTTACCCCTGTACAAAGACAGCAGCTAGGTTTAGGGCATGCTGTTAACAGTGCGACACTTCATCACAAATTTTACCACTCCAGACATTACTTGACAGCTTTCTGTGTGCTTTTAGGTTGATATGTTTCGGTGCTGTAATATGCCGACAAAATTGGTATATTTACTTTTATTTTGATTTACCACGAGTGCCTGAGGCATGTAAGCACTATGACTAAGATGTTTACGCTGACCCTGCTTACGTTGGAGCAAAACACTTCCGCTTGAATTTCCCTGAAGCTTAGCGAATTTTTGGTCCAAAAGTACGTACAGCGAATTAGGCTTTGCACAAAATTCACCGAGACAATTTGTGCCTTCTGGTTTTCAAAGCTTACAGCTTAAGGTTTACAAAGTGACATTGTAGAATTGTTTAAATTATAAAATAAACAAGTTAAAAATCAGCGCCTGAGTTGTCTGTCTAGGCAGTGTCCCTGTGCTTTTTTGTGACTCTTCGGAATAATTATGTCTTGCAGCCCGGCTTTCCTTACTATTACCGAAAGGTAATGGGTATGTTTATGTAAGCAAGTTCAGCTATGGCACTAGCATCAATAATATTTCATACTACACCCAATACTTCGAAAAAAAAAAGAAACATGACTTATATTTATAGGATGATGGTATTTCGTTATGCCGGCTGTCTGAGAATACTACGAGTGTGTTAGAGCATCCCGGTCACATCAACTGCATTCTTTTGAGGCCACAAACGGTCTTAGTTGGTGTGGTTTCATGTAATTATGCGCTGCCAGCAATGTCAAGGTGCAAAGAAAACGAAGAACAACATATGTTGATGTGCAAACAACTTGATTTGTTTGGAGCATGAAATATGCCAGGTAGAGGCTAAAAAAGCAGCAAGATGATGAAAGGCAAAGGGGAAAATAAGCAATAAGAATTGGTAGACATTAGTCAAGGAGGCATTTCAGCCTCCCCCAGTTGCGCATTTTCTCAGAGATTTACCTCTTAAAGGCAATACATGTTGCCTCTTATATAACTCAAAACACGTCTTGGTGGGGCTTTTGACGCAGAGGCTGATGTCGCTGACCATTGTCTACCATTTTTTAAATGTCTGACTTCCTTCTCTTATATTTGCGAATGCCTCCTGTTTCCCCAGCATCTACAAAATTCTTTTCATGCTCGAAATAAAAGCATTTGTTGGTTTGCGATTAGACCTGTGTTGTCGTTTGATTTCGCAGGCCTTGTCATTTCTGGCAGACCATTGAAAAATAAATTCGAGAACATTGATGAAACGACGCACCTTCTGCAGGTATGAAGACTTCTTTCGATCTCACCCCAGGTGAACTGCGTTCTGGTGGTCCGATTAAATGAGTGCGTATTGTGTAGACCACCTTCGTGCACGGTTCGTATGGTCCGCAGCTTAGCTCCGACTGGTCGGGGTGAACAATGCTGCCATTGATGCACAAACCAAGGTTGTGTTGGGAGCTGGTATTGTTGCCTTCCTGGGTTATCTCAATGATATAGTAGTCAAAACGCCCTTGGGGTCTTTGCCAGGATAATGTAATGTAACGATTTTTGACGCCTGCAGTCAAGTTCATGACGTCTGGAATTTCTGAAAAAATGAGGTTGATAGTGACAAGCAATACCGACGTGAAAGCCTACTGAGTGGCAGTCAATTATGATGTTGAAGTGTGGCGATTGGTAATCAGCTACTGAGCAACCTGAGCAACAAAAAGAGATCAGCAAATGAGCGCTATTGTAAAATTCGCATGCGTGTGAAATGTTTATGTCGTGATACACTTTTGTTATTTGTTACCACTATTATGAAAACGCTCATTTCCAGCTATTACAGTTTTCAAGCAAAATGTAAAAGTCAGAGAAAAGTTCCGTATGTAATATCTTTTCTTCAAAAACTGGCACCTTGGAAGTTACTATACATTTTCTGTCGTAATATGTGTGGATCTCATATGACCTGAAAATCGGTCGACGCGAAGCATGTTTGGTACAGGTGCATGTTTGAATTGCATATGTTTTGGTATCATTGGCCAGTATACTCGAACAAATGAAGAAAAAAATTTTAGACATATTTACTCGGATATTTAAATACACACATTCTTCTTCAGGCTTACTGTGACTCATGTTCAGTGGTCAGTAGGAGTCCTTGCTTGAGTGAGTTTACCAGCAGTAACTACCAACTGCTTCTCTACACCAGAACCTATGCTTAGTGGATGCAAAGCCTGCATTGATGTCTTTAACACCTGGCTTATGTACATCACCAGGAAACAAGCTATTGAGCAGTATTTTTTTTACGAAAAAACAAAATACTTTTGCTACCAGCTCTTATAGGATAAGCATTCCCACGGAAGTGCCCATCCAGGATTCTGAACCGAAACCTTGTTAGTATGGCGAGCCTTGCAACTGTGACAGAAAGTGGATGTGTTTACAACGTACATATATAACACTTGAATGTTTGTCCACTGCGCGAATCAAAAAGACATTAAATTACCAGAACACTCGCAATTTATTGATTATTCTATACTGATACTTTATACTACAAGTACTGAACGATCGTTGTCTCAACAATACTACCCAACTTGTGCGCTATAGCAGTATAATAATTTACCGTGTTTTTATCTATGTGGGGTAGCTCCACGAAATAATACTGTTTTACTATTGGAACATGTAAGCTTCAATTATTCTGGTAAAACTTCAATTCATGATGGGCGTCTAATAAAAGCTGCACCACAGTCAAACACATTTGAAGAAAAAAACATACAGGTGGCAATCAGATC